GTGATAATGATCATGGTGATGATGGTGGTGATACATTAAAACCCTTTCACACCTTCCCATTATCCGTATTTACTTGCAGGTAGAAGGAGTCACCTTGAAGTTGTCCCCCATAATCGCCAACTTAATGAGCTATTTTGCGGACGAGAGGAAATCACCGAAAAGTGGCAGCAAATTCATCATGGTATCTACATTTTCCAGCAGATAACCATGTGGATTATAGGAATGCCAATAATGCCCCTACATCCCCACGGAGAGCTGGAGTTCCCATTTTCTAATAATTGTGAAACTATTGATTGTCTCCATCATGTACAGCACATTGTGATGCATGCCTTTAATTCTTACGTTTAATTACACGCTTTTTATTAACTCACTCCGTTGTAGTTGTTGTTGTATCCTCAAATCTTGTAACTCAATTTTAACCCACTTCCAAATGTGGTATCGACTGCAAACTTGGTATACTTACGTCATACTGATGACAATACTATATTCTATAATAAAAAAAATAACATTTTAAACCATCTTTTTACGTTATGTTTCAGCTTGGCTCTAATTGTCCACGCTCAACTCACGTTGGCTGTAAATCACCACGGTCCCTTACGTTGTGGCAAGCCTCGGGGCCACTTCCTCGAGTCGTGGAGTTCTGCCATTACTAGTACGGTACATTTAATTAAAGCGTGTTTTTTTTTCAAAGTATTTTTAAATATTACTTATTTATTCATACCGATGGAACTCCCATCTCATTCACTTCTCAGTCCGAAAAGCCACATCAATGAGAGATATATGCACGACAAGTGCTTGATGCTAATGTTATCTTTTTCTATCATTAATTAATTACATTACAAAGTATGTGCTTTAGACGTGTGAAAATGTATTGCTATGATAAAAATATACAACAAAAATGAAGGGAAACTTTAGGATTTTAACAAAATTACCGTGGACGATTGTACACTTTTACATGGTGAAGATTGTCAGCTTTAGCAGTAGTAAACAACTATACATGTATCATGGCAGGGAAGCTGCATATCCCTGAGACATTGCAATACGATGTTGCAGGTGGTCGTCAAGTTCCTCGCACGAAAAAAGTCTGTTTCATTTACCAATGTTTTTTTTTTAACAGCTCATTCACTTTAACAACCTGATGATTTCACTATTCCAAAGTTGAATGCAAGTTGTTGATTCAAATATGTTTATATATATAAACAAAAAACCCATAACAATTGTATGAGGAAACCCCAATTTATTTTTTTATGTGGGTGTGCTTGGAAAATAAATGATGGCAGTGAGCATGATTGCTGTATTTTTAGACTAAAATTACAGTCGTATGAAGCGTCTAAAAACCACACACTGGGGAGTCTACATCTTAATGAATGTACCCAGAAGGGGTCTGAAACTCAATTTACTTTGGACTAAAAAAACGGTTGGAGCCTTTTTCTGATGGCAAACAACTGGATAACTGTGGAATCTCCATAATGGAGTAACAATAGAAACGTGCTTTCTACGTTCTTTAGATGCACTCTGCCTAATGGAAAAATGTAAGAATTCGGTGAGTACACAGTGGTTATGTACATAAATGTTTATCAAACAACATACAGACATAGGCTTATCTAAATGCTGAATGTGTCGTGGTGAAGGTGTGCTCCAACAACACATAGAAGCAAATTATTACATCGGCGTCATTCATTCATCATTGGTCACATGAGCTTGCATAATAATGCGAATTATTCCCATTTAAATTTATGAGAAATAAAAACTAATCTGGAGATGCCAGGCGGTGGAGCTGGCACCAACAATTGCTCTGCAGTTCTCTATATTTTAAGATGTTCTCATCCAAACAGTGTTCATACATGTGGGAGGAAACTGGAGCATCCAGCAAAAAAAACCCGCACGGGAGGGGGCAACACTCTATCCCATACAAAAAAAAACAAATGATATCAGTCCACACTTTGTTATCCTGGGTTATTGTACTTTTATGCCTAAAACTGGATCTTATAAAATGTGACAGTGCTGGATTACAGGCATGCATAGCCTCCACAACCCTTACCTTGCATTGGAAATATCAATATGTATACACAATTATACTCATTGTACGTATGTTTCATTTCTTTCACAACGTACGTGGTCAACCGTGTTAATTGATAAATTATGATGAATACAATTATTATAAATGCATGTGACTTTCATTTTTGTTGCACTCAATTTATAATTGTAGCAAGTACTGCATGATTAATTGAATTAATAGTCAAGGTTTGTCTTTGTTTAGACTATCATATGTGCTTTCCCAATGAACCAAACACAAATACGGAATTAAGAATATATAACATGAATTAACCAAAACACAACATATGCTACAAATTTGGGTAACAGAGTGAATCAATTCTATATGTACCCTGAACATCCTCCCAGGCGTCGATTACAAATTCAACAGGTACAATCTAAATGTTACATGTATAATACCTGTCAAGATGGTAATACAAAGCACATCCTTTCAGTGTCAGAGAAGGCATAATAAAATGCCACACGTAGGCAGGGTTTAACAATGTGCCTTTAAAATTTTAATTCTGGAAAAATCCTACACAAATTCCCAGCAGCTGCTTGAATAACAATGACTTGACAGGAAACAAAATAGGCCAGCAAAAATATAATCCATATTACATTGCCATTCCGTGGGCTATTCAGACTCATTTTTGCACCATCAGACACATGCGGATTATATAGTATCCAATTTTTGTAGTAAACTGAATTTATTCCGTATGAATATACAACATTTTTGACGTTAAACCCTTTTTTTAAATGTTATCAGTCTTCCTCGCTCAAATATACCGCTGGCTGAAGAAAATAAATCACAGGGTTCTATTTATTGCTAAAAATTGTAGAAAATTACAGGTTAAACGGCTATATTTTTTACACGCAATTGTGCCCAAGATATCTTTGGAAATGTCTGCAGCTATTCCCTCACTGCACAATCTGCTTGCTCATGCTTCCCACTACACTTTGTCCTGGCCGCTATGCCCTCCGTCGAACCCTTGTGTTGAATGCAAATGTGCTCCACGGCTAAAACAAAGTTTCCCTCATCAGGACTTTTCAAGGTCTGGCAGTACCCTGGGACCAGCCAGCAGTGGCAGAGCTATGCATCAAAGCTCTTATTCTTCTTCTTCTTCTTCATACAAGAGCTTCAAAACTGTCTGCTTTCCTGTAAAACACTGCACTCTGCTTCAGAGTCAATGCACGGTTACAGGACTAAATTATATATATATATTCCACATTCAATGTGAAATAACTTCTGTGACAATTCTGAAGTTGATGCAAATGCTATCCAGTGTATACACTGTAATATATACGTAAACATGGTAGTCTCTCATTTTTTTAATTGAAAAGGGAGGTAAAATAATATGAATATTTCTTTCAAATTTTTAATAATTTGTGGCGTTTTGTTTTTGGTTGGCGAGCCTTAGAGGGGACTGCAGATTGCTAAGAGTTGCACCTAATTCGTATGTGGGTTGAGGTGTTCGGGGGAAATAACCTTCCTAGCAGGGATGCATACATAGGCATCAAATACAAGCGCGTCACAGCACATGAAACGGCCATAACAATGACCCCGTTTCTCACTGTCAGAGATGCTGGAGGCTGCAGTCTCAGGACCCCCATCCCAGGAACTGATGTACGTGAGCCTGGGGAGCATTGGTAGCCTTAAAGGGCACAAGTCACCAGAGCATCCAGAAATCAAGCGAGTAATTTACTGACAATAGCCTCAGGAATTCATAGGAATTCACTCGTTGCTTCTAATTAGCACCATATAGGGGGCAGCCACAGTTTGATCAATACTCGTGCTTGTTAGTCAAAATGTTGTCAACAGCGATGGGTCCATCATACGGCAAAGTGTCGGTGAATTTTTTGGAGATGAACCGTTGCCATACGAATTCCAACATATGTTTGTACCCTTAAGATGAATACAATGGAATTTCCAACTTATAAGAAGGTTTTGTTGCAGGTGGTGGTACAAAGGACTGCAGAAGTGCTCAACAAAAGGAAATACTCCCGCGGGTTTCCAAACACCAAAATAAAGCACAGATGTCACAAAGGAACGGCGATAGCAAAATCATAATCCTGCAGGGATTGCATTTCGAGATGGCACGAGGGGTTATCGTGCACAGCAGTGTCCATGAAACCCAGAGGTGGCACCTACCGAACTTATCCATCACCAAGATATTCCGGTGACATCTGTGTGTACTTACCACTTCTTGCGGCCTCTCGAGATTCAGACGGCTGCTGCTTTGAAGATTATAGTAAAATAAAGTACTAGGAATGTTCAATGCAATTCAATTACTTTTGCTTCATAATGCAAAGATAACTGTTGCAATTTATGATAATGTTCATTAACATTAAACAAATAGGTTTTGTGAAAATATCCCCAGCTTTTTCAATTCCATCCAAAATGTTCAATTACCATAGTCACTATATATTTCATTGATATGCATTTCATTATTTAATGAAAATGTACATGTAAAAAATGCCATTGTATAATCTTCCCTGCAGGAAGGACACACTCACCTTGTGTGTGCATTAAGGAATTCTTGTTTAATAACCTTTGTCAGTGGAATTTAAAATATGTTGTTTAACCCCTTCGATATATCTTTATAATAGAGGTTTTCCATTAAACGTGCAAGGTAATGTGTTACCCACAGTGCCTCATGTCATCCACATACAGAGGAACTGGGTTCACACAACTGCGGATTAAATAATTCAATGCTTGTCACACATGACAACTGTGGGTAATGGCAATGACTTAATGCTTTCAAATTTTATCGCCCCCTTTAATGTCATGCGTATTTTTACCCCCGCAGAAACTTTACACAACGCCTTCCACCGTGTGTGCCCAACGCGGTCACTTGCGCAAGAGCACGGTGCGCGCACTGGAGGCAGGCAGCGAGATACGTTCCAAACACAAATCAAAGCAGGCAAAGCTCAACGCGAGGCTCCCTGCAGCGCGAGAAATGACTTGCCTCTCTGTGAAGGACCATCTCCTTGGTGAACAGCATGGCCTCATTGCTGTAGGGCTCACTCTCCTGGGCTCCCCCTGGGCCGTTCCGAGCCATGCGTGGACACTCAATGCCTAAACAAAAAACAAGCGAGGCATTGTTGGCCAATATCGCAAGCAGCGAACTCTTTTGTTGTTGTTGTTGTAAAGACAGCCAGCAAGACAAAAAGCTCGGAAATAAACAGCACACGTATCACCCAACAGACACTCTGAAGTTGCCATGTGACAGCGAGATACACAAATAAAATTGGAAAGTTCATAATATATAAATAACCGATTATCTCTCAATCCTTTATGGATCAACATAAAAAAGCTTATTTTCTAAGAAGCAATTCATAGTTATGATTACAAATGTTGTAAAGTAATGAATTTAACTTATCAAATTTCACTGTTAATCTCTAAATATTTTGAGCTTAAAACACATAATATATTCATTTAAGCCAACAAGAATGACTAATATAACACTAAACCAATTAAGCATGTTAAAGTAGCATTCACAGCTGGAGACAGGAAAAATTGCTAAACTTGTAACTGATAAATTATGACATTTCAGAAATGAAAGCCTAAAAAAATTTTATTGTGAAATTTGATTGAGACTCACAGTTTTACCATTATCAAACTATAATGATGTCAGTACTTTATGTTCTAGAAAATAATTACAATGAATGGGACAGTTAACTATTTAATATGCAAACATTTTTTCTATTTAATTTGCAAAAATTCATATGCCGTTAAGTTAATTTACTTATTTGGTTACGAATTAGGCTATTCCATGACTTTTCTCTTAATCAAGGACTTTATGAAAAATTACCATCATCGTTCAATTCATATACTTGGCAGGATCGATCAAGCTTCAAGCCACATCCTTTGAAACAGCCTCACTGTTAGTCATATTCGAATTATCAGGGAATATAGTTCATGAATTAGGATAAATGTCCAACTGCAATATATTCTTTTTTTACAATATGAAACTTTAAATGTTATTTCTCCAATTAAGTTAAAGAATATTTAATTGTGCAAAGAATGTCATACAAACAATGGTAAAAATAGCACCAACATTTCTGAAAATAAACGAGAAATACGTTTTATAATTCTGGCTTCACTGCCAGATAATAACCATTCCATTAAAGAAGAAACTTGTCTTATTTAGCTATTTCCCTGAATGATATCCATGGATAATCCGTGAACCAACTGTGCTATGCAGAGGACAATTGTGCCATACACCTCAAGCTTCTAAAACATCCACTTCAATAAAAATTGATTGCTTGCAAGGCAATTTTTCGACAAATGAAATGATTACTGAAGGACTGTGAGCATCCATCCATTAAAATATAGTGAAATAGACTTCTCTTTGGGGCACACATCAGTGAAAACCTCCAATTCATCCATTCACGTCTCAGTGCCACCAATATCGGATGTAGCCATGATACATGTGGGACTTGCTTTGAAGTGCTTTGACACCACTCATTATTGTGCAAGAAAAAAGACCACGTAAAAAAACTATTTCTATGGAACATTAGTGATATCCCCAAGAATACATGTACGTTATTTACAGACGTGTTTAGCCCTCAAGGGAAGAATTTATTTACATATAAGCCAATGCAAGCCATCTTCAGACAAAAGTAATTGTCATGATAAAGGCAACAGAGGTCCCTTCGGAGTGGGCAGGTAGGAACTTGGTTGGACAACGCATTCGTGCACGACAAACAAATATGCACGACAGACAGACAAATAATCCCTGGTGTGCAGTGTGGAACCTGTTGTTCCTACCTGTAAAAAATGGTCTAACGTTGAAATGTGTGTCATTGGGTCATTAGCATTTACACCACATATAGTGCAAGACATTGGATTAAACATGTGGTAATAATGACTGAATATGGGACTTAATGAAAAATCTTGAAATGTACTATCCCATTGGTAAGCCCATTAACTGCAGAACTACCAAACAACGTGTTTAATTCACGAAAATATTATTACAGACTAACTTCTGATCTAAACACACATACCAATTAGTTTTGAGTCAGCGGTATATGAATGAAATAATGAATGCATAGTATTCATTGCAATTAAACACTGCAGGAACAATTTCAAAAACTAACAATATTGTTTTTTTTTACTAAAACAGCTAATGCTGCAGATACGATTTAAATAAGCAAAATGGCCTCAGCTTTCAGGTGCGATGTATAATTCTGTTCATGTTTGAGAGTCGTGTTCTTTCAATAGTACATTTAGGAATGTGCCGATTAAAATTGGGAAAGAGGTGATCCGTCTGCTTGTTTATCTTGTTACTTATATTCTCCACAATGACACTTATGATTATTTAACACGTAGGCTTTCACGACCAATATTATGATTATGTTATGTATCATATAGTTTAGTGCCGAACTAAGGCCCATATCATAAGAAACAAAGTCCTTGCCTATAAACATTGGACAGGTGACCAGGCACAGGTTTAAGTGAGCTTGACTGCTGATGAGATGCTGAATTTCGATTTAAAGCTTTCGTGACTGCAGGGATTCATCTTCTTGGTTCTTTCGGTAAAGTCACGTAGAAGGAAAGTAATAAAATAATAAAAATAAAACATAATAAAATAATTCTCACGACGTTTCGGCTACAACGCAAGTAGCCGTCTTCAAGTGAAGAATGAGACACTGGCAGTGTCTGATCCAAACCTTAAATTATGTCTTCTGGATCTGGCCATTGCTAATCATAGATTTCCATTAAATCATTGTTGGTTAAACTGGATACTGGCAGTCTCATTCTTCACCTGAAGACGGCTGCTTGCGTTGTAGCCGAAACGTCGTGAGAATTATTTTATTTTATTATGTTTTATTTTTATTATTTTATTACTTCCCTTCTACGTGACTTTACCGAAAGAACCAAGAAGAGATGCTGAATATCAAAACCGGTGCAGAGTTTTGCTCGTGTTAAACCAATGCTGTTGATAGAATGCACTCCCAGAAGCCAGTGTGGCCAATGGGATGCGATAATGTTCGTTCGTTTATTTTGCTACTTTTATTCTTCGAATTCTCAAATTATCTGGAAAGGCCCACATCAATCAAAAAAGTTACTGATATCTGGTTCAGAGTTCTATATGTATCTTCTTTTATGGCAAAAGCTTAATAAGCTTCAGGTATTAAAATTTTAATTTTATCAACATCAAATATACCGGGTATATAAACAATTCAATTTCAAAATACAGATGCCATATATTGAGCTTAAAACATATTCTTTTCTGCCTCCAGCACATAATATTCAACAATAAATATACCTTTTGATTTAAAGCTTTCGTGACTGCAGGGATTCATATTCTTGGTTCTTTTGGTAAAGTCACGTAGAAGGGAAATAATAAAATAAAAAAGATATAAAACAAGAACATTTTCTTGCTGTGGATTTCACACCTGATGATGATTGCTTGTGTTGCGGTCAAAACGTCATGAGAATTTTTTCTTGTTTTATAGTTTTATTATTTTATTATTTCCCTTCTATGTGACTTTACAGAAAGAACCAAGAACAATTAATATACCCCTATATAAAATGCAGTTGTGGCACTGTCTCCTCATCCATGCACATGTAAATACGTGGGACACTTCTGAATACTAACCTCAATTAAAAGCTTCACTGAAAGCCGGGGTCTATTGTAACTAACAAACCACATGACTTGTGAAATAAAATAATAATTCATAAATATTATACACGCTTTTTATTATGGAGTCAAAGAATAGTAAAGGATTTTAAACCAAAAAAAATTTGATCACTGTTCCCCCAAATGTGGACTTCATATGTATAAGACACACCATGGATTTAGATAAATGTCACAAACAGTACAACAGTGTGATAAGAAGAAAGCTGATACATATACACGTGTAAAAAAAAAACATGTGACAGTTACAAAAGGCAACAAGAAGAGGACATTAATGTGACAGATAGATAAAAACTGTTGATATTTTATGTCTTGTGCCAGAACAGCACAGATATACAACACAAGCAACACCCATCCAAGGGCCAAAAGCTGCTCATGTGAACAAGCCTCTTGACAGTTGACAAAAAAAAGTGTGAAGATAAAGAAATAAAGCAGGAAGCCTTCCTGTGTTGGAATAGTGCTTCGACTGACAATATTCAAAAACACAAAATTGTTCCCAAAGCACTTGAAGATGCCATAGCAACCAGAACAAAGCTACCATGTGTATGTACTAACAGGATACATTGAATGCAGCTCTGATGTTTGTGAAAGTTTCCAACGATGATGCTTGAAAGGAAACCTCAAAAAGGTACCACGTGTCTCCAAAAGATAATTCTGAATTCTAAACACTCTCGTGTCGCGACCAAAATATGGGTTCGGGGACAAAAAACAAGCGCCGCTGCGAGATTATATTTCCCCTCAGTGCTCATTGGAGCACGAATACATTTTAATTGGATATTAAAATAAAGCAACGACTAAGGAGTCAGTGGCGAATCGTCAGCACTGCCTGAGATAGCTCTTAATGACCAAACAACCAAAAACTCCAGGTCACTAAACCGCGGTTGGATCTGTGATAATTAGAGGGGCCACGATTCACCACCGTCCCCCCCCAACTCCTCCATGCTCTCCTTGGTGATTCAAGGGAATCAGTCGCAATTAGATTTGAACAAATGTATTCTATTTTCAACTTCGTGGTGAGTGTATACATGAATCACTGCAACCGTTTCAAAATGACAATTAGAAATTTTAAAGATAACATCATCCAAAACACACGATTCCATGCATGTAAAATGGAGATTTTTGTTTCAATTTATACTGGAGGAATCCGATGAGCTACAAAGCTATTTTTCACACATGTCCAGAAAGGGCAGATTATAACGATACAACAAACAACACAAAAACACAATAGTAGTGCAACATCTGCAACAATCGATGAATCAATGCATCGTTAAGAGCTCTAACAATGACATGCAATGTACAGTTATAGTTTTTAACAAAAATTTTGTCCTTTGTTTTTTTTACAGCTTGGATGACTGCATGAATTTCTGCCGAGTCAACGACTAGGCACAATGGCAAGTCTGTTTAAGAATCTTATTAATGGGAAAATATGGTTGCAGAGAAACCTTCCCTAAACCTGCTTTGCTTGAATGGTTGGCTTGCATTGACCAACCACTCTTCGCAATGATATTCGTCAACAATGTATATTCGTGCAATAAATGGTGCATCATTCTCAAAGTAAGCTTTATTACCCATTTGTTTCAAATAAAAGAATGATCGAAATATAATTCGATGATGACAATATTGTACGTCTAAGTGAACCATTTATATGAAAAAAACTGCTACACGAAAGTATCAAAATACTATAAACATGTTAGTCAAGAAGAGTGACATGCTTTCTCCAACATTATTCAGTGGCTAAATGAGAATATATTTCCAAACATTGGTTTGGAGAAACAAAGGCATACATATAAATAGAGCAAATACTTATGCAACTTAGATTTTTCTGACGACACGGGCTCAACATAAATGAGCAAAAACAAAACATTTACGTACAGTTTCATTAGAAACTGGTGGAAATGCCACAATGAGAAACTGGAGAAAAAAAAACACGGAAACATTGGCAAAAAATAAACAAAAGCTGAAAAGTGCACAAAGAACTTGAAATTACATAAAAGCACAGATCAGAGAACTTAAAAGATTTAGACACAATATTGACTGTTAAGAAAACTAAATGGGATTGGACCAGGCCCGTCACTCGAAAAGATAGTGGTGAATGGTCTAGAGAAATGTCAATGGCATCCAGAGGAGAATACACCTCAGTCACTAAAAACGAAACTTTCTATTTTACCAAGTAGGGCCTACTGAGTTACGTAGCTCTTTTTCAGAAGCGACCTGGCCACAAATGATAGCTCAGCGAAGTGGCTTATCACGTGGAAATGTATAGCAGCCAAATACTCTAAACGCATATTTCTAAATGTGAAGAGAAAAACCCAGAGGATATGGGGAGAAATCCACGGGGAGATGAACATGGAAACTCCAAATATAAAGACTTCAGGGTTGGGATCAAACCCATAACCTCCTGCATACCAGGCAAGGTAATTAACGTCTCGCCATCACGGCGCACCAATAAGGCCACCAAAGAGATGGAGCCATGAAATCAACTCATGTGCAGAGGTCCTAGATGGATTGTTACGACTTGCAAACTATGTAAATAGCCATGAGCTCAGGCGCTCTGTAAATATAAGATAAGACAAGACATTGCAGGAGCCCTGAGAAAGTGGCAGCTTGAGACCTTCATCCAGCTGTGAAATGATCATGGCTGAGGGTAATGAATTAGTAAAAATTTAATTGAATAATATACCAAATAAAAGAGCATGTTTCATTACAACAAATAAACGTGTTATATTTCATTGCTTGCTAACAGCAAGCAACCTAGTCCTTAGACAACAACCGTAGAAGCAATAGCCACCTATCTTTGATTTCCTGAAATTTCTTTCATGTACAATTAAAACTCGCATGGGCTTATGTTACCCATGCTTTCACTGTAATATGACCTCCTGCAATGCAAACATATTATTCACACATACGCACAAATTAAAGTTCACATCAGCAACCTCTATAAATCCAGTCAACCACAAATGTTCAGCTCTGCATGACATTTACAATTAAATACTATGGACAAATGAGTAACCGTTTTAAGTGAATTCAATATCTTCTTGGTTCTTTCGGTAAAGTCACGTACCGAAAGAACCAAGAAGATGAATCCCTGCAGTCACGAAAGCTTTAAATCGAAATTGAATTCAATATAATAAGGGGATTTCATGAAGTAAAAATTCAGTACCATACTGTCAACTAAAACGTACTTGCAAGGGTAACCACAAGGAGGAAACTGGACCACCCATTACAATCTGTAAGCAGGGGAAGGGGGCTTACCAGCCAACAGGAATGTGATGAGGCAGGTTTCTTTGGGCAGGAAAAGCTTGATGCGCGACCCGCTGAAGACGTGCTCCACGATAGCCTCGCTCCGGCCAGCTCGCTGAAGGAATGGCAGAAACTGCTTGGCTTTTTGAACGTCCTGTGATTGAGAAGACGAAAAACATGCGTTGATTTACTTACTTACGGCATTACGCATTTCACACACACACACACACATTTAATGCGGCGCTCGTGCGATGCGGAGAAAGAAAAACAGTCCATCCAAAATTTCAACCAAATTAACCACTTTCCGTGACCGTATATCGGCCGTGGTTTACCGACAGATGGATTAAGGCCTTTTCCACGTAGCTTGCCCACGGTTCTTACAATTTTACTTTCCATCTCACTTCTGCTCATGGGATGATCTCATTGCTCCATCTCTAAAAAGTTTCACTCCCTCAGATATGTTCCCTCCTTTTGCTAATACCATCACCAGTCTCATCCATCAGTCATCATCCCTCCTAGCTAGGTGCCGTACACAAGGGCACTTTTCTTAAGTCAATTCCCATTGGCATTGGTTTGAATACACTGCTTCCGAAATTCCTAGTGTGCAACTTAACATGCTTTTGTAAGTGTCGTTCTATTGTTGTGTTCCATGTTTTTACTTTACCAAAGCGAAATTTAACTCATTGCAAAAATAACCATGATTTATTATTACTATATATATATTTTTTTTATATATATGTACATATCGTAGATACCAAGCCTTTTTCCAAAATGGGTCAATGTGCATATTACATGACCAAGGGAACTTGACTTTTCTGTTAAGTGAAGATTAACCTCCTGGATTAGTGCTCACGTTTACAAAATATTAGCCGAGAGCTCAATGTGTTTTGTACACATTCAAGCCAGTATTGATAAGTTTCCAGACCACATCGAATACACTTACAGTGCTCCAGGGATATACCACAGAGCAAGGACAACACTGGAAAGCATTCAATACGTGATATGAAAAACACAAAGGGAAGCCACTGCACAAGGGAGGGGAAAAAAGAATTGCAGTTGGAACGTGAGAGCATTATTCCTCAATTCCGTTTCTCCTGCAGTACGTGCGTCTCCTGTCCCCCAACTCCTCTCAGCCTTTAACACCTCTCTCATCTGTTCCCCCATCCCCCACCTCTACCCATCACTTCCCACGACTACCCTTTTCTTTCTTCGACCATTCTTGATTGTTTCGCTGTAAAAATAGGCGATGCGTGGGTGTGCATAATATGTGTGTGTGTGTAATTTTTTTTGCATATTACGCGTGTGAATTTAGATTAATGTGAAATGTGCACCATTTTCCAGGATGTATTTAATTTCAGATTAAAACGGTGAAGGGGATGCGGCCCTGCAATTACTTGCTCGTTTCACCGCTGGCTTCCACTCGAAGGAGCTCCGATAGAGGGTATTTGGCTGCACAGATGTCTTAGCAGAGGTGGGAGAGTATTCACACTTTATCCCAACGGAAAGTACACGTAGCTTTCTCTGCAAATCTAATCAATATAGAAGGAAGAACATCTTGAAACTATGACAATTCCATACAACAGCACTATTTCCAGAAAGAAAAAAAAAAAACTATTGGCACGTTTTAGTTTTAATCGCCTCACCTGTGTGGATTACCCCTTTCTTTATTTTGGCCACTTTCCACCGTATTTTGCCAATCACAGCAACCACCAAAAAACAAACGGCTCCACCTCCCGCTAAGTTTGTCGCATAATGCAAGCGCCTATAAAATACTAGAACAAAATTCAATCGGGAAAGAAACACTTAAAACCATGAGATCTGGCAGTTAAATTAGCACATGCAATGCAGTACTGTAATTGAGCACTTGCTATGCACGGCCATACCAGCTGCTGTTACACATCTCACTGCAAGAGCAAGTGAGAGAGAGAGAGGAGAGAGAAGTGTGGGTAAGGAATGGAGAAAGAACAGAGCAAGCGAACGATAGGAGGGGGGGGGGGGTGTCAGCCATGAACATCAGCGGGGACATTGGCAGGTCCCGGATAGCCATCTGGTCGTGAATGTCTGCTGATTGGGAGTGCTAGCTAAAAACAACCAATGAAGCACACAGGACAAAACTAAGCGATGATAACCAAGTAAAAAAAATCCTGTAAATATTTTGGCTTGTTCAATTGTTTTACTAAAACGTCATCACAAGCTGTCACAATTACTAACCGAGTGATTGCTAATTGGTTTTGTACCCTTCTATCTGGCAACAAAACTGACACCTTTTTACAAGGAGTCATGTTTGCATAGACCGCAATACCTGCAGTCATAATGCAAACAACAAACATAACTCTGATAATGTGCACTGTCCTTGAAGTTGATTGGTCCACACCCGAGACGTTGCATTATGACTGCAGGTATTGTGGTCTATGCAAACATGACTCCTTGTAAAAAGGTGTCAGTTTTGTTGCCAGATAGAAGGGTAAAAAACCAATTATCATATTTTTACTGGCAAATGAGGTCCCCATGGTGCTAGTGATTGATGTTAATACAAAAAAGTATTTACAACTGTCAAAATATGCCAGTTTATTATAACCACTCACACTTGCCCACAAGGTATCGAGGACAGTTGGAACGGTTTCTAAATATATATTTTACACATGGTAGCTCAATTATCAATACAATTTACATCTACGTATTACAATGTGGACATTGTCTGTTGCCCCCCCCCCCCTCGCACCTCCAATTAGGACGGCTACAGACGGTGGGAGAAAAGTTCAATGTACCTAGACTGTTAAATTAAAATGTTATGCAAAGTGTGTTTGTACTGATGTGTACACAATGCCAGGTAACTCAAGCATCATTCTCTTGGCAAGGCAAATATGACATGGACACCACGAGAGAATAATGTTGAGGTGCAATACAGACGAACTTTCCAGAACTTAATAATTACATGAGTAAAAAAAAAATCCTCACTTGACATCGTAAAAAAAAGTCTAAACTGAGACCGCTTGCAATTGATGAAAAAGTCAAAAGTTTTGTTGAGGAATTGACACTTCTCTTTAAATAGCGGTCATGTAACCTGCAATGCGTGGTTAATCGCGGAAGCAGTCTTGACAGGGTAGTCTTGCGGTACTAAATAGGTCGTTTGTAATATCAGGTGCTCACTGGGTGACCTACCACCGATAATGTCTTTGTAAACCTTTTCTACCAGCCCCTATTAAAAATTCTGAGATAATAACCCAACGCTGACAGGCAATTGTGGTACAAAATCTGAGTCACCCAGTTCATGACTTCAGCCGGAAAGGATAAAAAAAAAATATCCCACAAATTGTACATAAATGATATCACACTTCTAATGTCACCCTATAGCTAAATGCAACACATCAATAGCAAATTTGTACAGAAGCATTTTTGAAATGGCCCGTTCCTTCTCTTAACAGCTTGATAGCGTAACCGTAAGTCGCAAATCAATAAAGAGTAAAGAAAATACTTTCGCCGCAAACATCAATTTCAGACAATTCCTGAGCAAAATAAACTAATAACACAGATGTTGTTACGTGTCACCGACTCTTCAAACACAAATGGAAGGAAGAGTTTTGAAAATAACTTGTTGTGAAGCTCGTGCAATGACTAGCTCAATACATAACCGACATAATAACACACAAGCCAGCTCTGTGTGTGCAAAACAAAAGTGCAGTTGTCAATAAGGAAGGGAGAGAGAATTGATTTGCCATTACTGCTGCACCCCCTGCCAAAAAAAAGGTTAAAGTGCTGATGGTCTGAACGTTATATAGCTACATGGCATGGTAGGAATGTAAGAAAAGGTCAGGGCCTAATGTTGGATAATCATTTCAAAAGCATTTCTCGAGCTAGTGGCAAAGAGATAATCAACCACCCGAACCGGCAAGGCAGCTTACGGCTTGTAATTGTTTAAAGCCGATCCCATTAGGCTACCTAAGCTGTATAAAGATCAATTGCTTTTTTTATTTGTCTTCTACTTTTTGCCAATATCGCCCCACATATTTATTGCCGAAGCTTACACAGAAGTCTGAATGGATGCCGAACCTGTTAATTTACGTGGAATTAGTTCAGTTCAATGTTTAAAAAGATACGCTAACACCTAAAACATACACGTGGTTTTATGAGCAAACATTTGCAACACAAGAAATGGGAGTTGACATAAAACATTAAGCAGTTTTCGGGCTAACAAATGGCATTAAACCAGGTTACTTATTCAGGCTCTTGAATCGAGCTGAAGTGAGTAGCATACGAGTTTATTAAGGCCTTGCCCTTTTCATGACAAATGCCTCCGTCTCTTGATAGGTGCCCTCAGCCCTTTAGACCTGACATATCGTCATAGCACGCATATGAACTTCCATTATGCTCAAACATTCACTCTGGCAACCGGGACAAAAAAAAAAGAGCATAAAAAATGTGCTAAAACGACAAAGAATGAGAATGAGTCCACACCCTTTGCAATTATTTCTAGAGCAATGATATATATGAAGTGGTTTAAAACTATCAAACAGGGCTCGGTCAAATCAAACATCCGTTTTGGGCCAGGGATGAGAATGGAAGATAAATGCGGCAACAAGAATGATTGCTTTGGGATTGTGGGTCGCTGCAAATTTAACACCAGTGCTGCTCAGGTCCGTACGGGAGAAAATGATCACAGCAACTTTGTTTGCTGAATGAAATTCTCCAACTTGGCAGTGTACTTGGGGATATATTCATCTTCATACAGCGGACATCTTGTACTTACACAGTCTAGAAAGCCCGATTGCTAATTTCCTATGAGCAATATCAATGTGAATGTGCACGATAAAAAAGTTAGGTGTCTGCAAAAAAAAAAAGAATCACTCGACAGTTTAATTTGAGCAAAAGTACACTGCAGAGAGTACTACCACCACAAAATTGGTTGACGTTTGGGGAGTACACATATTGTTATATTGCATAGAGGGAGAACTATAATTAATGTACATGGCCATTGGTGTTGTCATAGCGACATCAGTGAACCGAGGGAGATGTTGTTATTTCAATATTAACCTCCCTGTACGGACCAGACACAGCTGGGTATAGACATTGTCCTCCTCATTGGCATTACAACAGCTGGGGAGAAACTACCAACATACTAAGGTATGTTGAGAAACCCGCCAATTGTGTGCCCCC